CATAGAAGGAAATCAGGTTGATCAAGCAGGAAATCAGGTTGGTCAAGCAAGGAAATCAGGTGGTTGTCCCACAACTCAACAGACATGACAAATTTAATTCCCTCCTCCACACTGTGAGATGTAGATTTGCTTTAGCTCTTCAATTTTATTAGATAAAGCCCTATCTCTGATGCAGCAAATGTAACTTTTCCTACGTTAAAAATGTAAGTGAAAGTAGAATATATCTAAAAATTTAGAATCAAAGATCTCACTGTAATAGATCCTTCTTAAAAAATGAGGGAAAAAAGGGTCTCATACTTACATTTCTGGGACACAATTTACACTGGAAAATCTCTTTTATACAGGCAATAAGATGACGATGAAGTTTCTTGGTTAATCCGTCAAAGTTCCTGCAGGCTAAGATAACAACTTCCTGAGGATGAGTTTCCAACCACCTTAACACTTCCCACAGAATATCCTACAAGAGAGAGTCATGGCATCTTAGAAAGTCATCTATGCTATGCAGGGGAAAGGACTTAAAACCAACAGAGCATTGATGGTAGCGTAGACTCGCAATCCCAATAATAAAAATCCACGTAGGTTTCTGGAGGACGGCCATCTGACAGCCCGCAAGGTGTTGCAGTGAGATGGACTCCAGGAAAACCTACTTGCTGCAGGTTTGCTCTGGGTGTGGGTCTAGCACACCACACTTAACAGCTTTGTATTTTGATAATATCCATGAAACTCCTACTGCCTAGAGGCAGGTTAGCAGTAAACCCATCTTCCCAAGCTTCTTTAAGGACAAAGAACGTGTTAGTGGCAAACTCAACATCAGGGAAAAGCTCTGTGCTTGTTTAAACATGACAGGACCTGTTTTCCCCATTTGTTATGGGCAATGACAACTCCTTGAAAAGTGCATGTCATTAGCAGAGTAGCCAGGCACTACACCTAACGGTTTACATGGGCATGCCAGTCACCATGAAATCTCAAGGCATGAAGGGTTCAGACTCATAAGCTGAGTTTAGCCAGTTAGTCTACAAATGAAAAGCTGCATTAGCTGGCTGTCTCTGGCTGTATAGGTCCCAGCAAATGGAAGGAAGATGTAAACTACTCCACAGTGACAGACCACATGCAAAGAGCAACTCACAGTAGTTTCTTCAAAGTAGCTGACAGTAATTTGATCATGGGATCCAGATCTAAGCCTCTCTGTCTTTCAGTGAAACACTTTTTCCTCAAAAAAAAAAAAGGTTTCTGTGATGTTATTAGGCTTTTAGTACCCTCTTCTCTTAATAACATCTCTCCTTACTGGGGAAATGGGATTGCCCTGGATAGCATCCTGGGACAACACAAGATAAATGCCAGAAACATCAGGCACTTGGTGGGGGACAGGCGGTGGAGCGCAAGGCACAGCAACTCCCGTTTCAGGATAAGGAATTGATTGATGCTCCAGTCTCACTTGCAGGTGCAGAAACTAACTTCCAGCCCTGCTGATTTTCTCTAATTTGAAGTCCTCACATTAGGAAAACAAGTAACCTACTCAGGAAAACTTGGCCCAGCATTTTCAGATTATGATGGCTCTTGAATAAAAGAAACAGTACAGGCTTTATAGCCATCCCAAAGGTAAGGACAATACCTGTACAGTAACAGTAGTGTAAACCATATGCACGAAGTACAGATTCATAGATGGATCGTTAGCCTTGTGGGCAATCCTGAAATCCAGATATCTAACTCCGGCCTCAAGTTGCTCCATCACAGTCAGTACCTGAAAAAGTGAAAGAGAAGGCAAACGTTCCGAGAGCTTGGAAGGGATTTGCTTCTTTTGTTTAGAAAGCCAAAAGAGGTGTACAAAGTTAGCCCTATGACATTTTTCACAGGTCTTTCATCGTTAAAATGGCACTGTACACTACCACCTTGCAATTTTGAAGTATCTTTCTGACAAGAGAGATCCCAATTTCCCTACGGCATATACTGCAGGTATGGATTAGATTAGTTGCAGACCTCTGTCCTCCTTGTGTTCTAAAAGTTAAAGATCCATTAACCTGTGCGTAAACACACAATCGTGCTTCACAAGACTATTCGTATAAAAAAAATTGCAGGATCAGCACCTTAGAAATGCTGTATTTATTTTATTAGATCAAAGACTTTATCATGGTTGTCTCTGCGGAGCTCATTCATCCCCAACAGAGGGGAAAAAAAATAACAGGGAAAAGTACTGGCTATTGTTCTTTTTCAGGATAAAGTATTTTCAAAAGTTTTAATTAACGTGTAGAAGTCCCACAAAACGGAGGTCCTCCTGTATTTTCACTCTTCCCTTGAACTTCTCCTACTGGATTTGAGGGCTGATGGAACAGGGGATAAAGCTGAATTTCTGGGGCAAAAAGTCCCAAATGATATGTCTCTTATCTATATCAAGGCTCCCTTTGCATAAGAAAATACAATCAGTTTAAGTAAATACGTTTAAACACTGATTTGTCTCAGTTCAACCTGCTATGGACACACTTTTATGTTTCAGAAAGAACACACACTGTACAGGTTTAGGTCAGAAAGGATTCAACAAAAGCTAAATCAACACAAGGGTTGCGCCTGAATAACCACATTTGTAGCTTTAGGGCCAAGACAGAGCTTAAGAGGGATGGCAGGATGCTCACCCCGCCTAGCTTTAACCATCTAACTCCCTGTTCTTAAAATGGGAATTTAATCTCCCCAGGCTGTGCCTGAGCTGGAGGGCTGGGAGCAGCCCAGCCCCACATGCCCTGGGGAGCAGGTGGTGTGGTGGCTCCAGCCAACTGTGCCTGCTTGGTCTCCAGCAGACAGAAGCAGCTGAAGGCATGATCCATGCCCAAGCCCCACCGTCACTTGGAGCATGCTGGAGATGGGAGCATATATGGTTGTGGGTCATGTATAACCTTGGTAGCCAGAAAGAGAGCCAGATGAAACAGCTGCTCTGAACTGCCCTTTGGATTAATTAATTCATTTCTGTTGGCTGCATGGGAAAACTAGACAAATTAGACGCTCTGGTTAGTCAGTTGGGTTTGGATACTGAATTAGACAGTGTGAACATTGCCCTCCAAGGGAAAACTTTAAGAGGAAGCCTTGGGGAGCAATGCTGTTCAGTGCTGCAATCTCACGCCGATGAGTGGAAGTTACACTCCTGACGCCTGCCATCGCGCAGGGAAGATTTGGACTAGACTGACATCCGTAACAGCCAGGGTTCAAGCCAGGCACCACGTCCTAGGCACTGGGCCATCCAGGAACCTGTGGGTCCTACCATCAGTAGGGCTCCTTGATCTCTGTTCTGGATACCAACAGGTGGAGTCACCTCCTCGCAAAGATAACTCGAGCACCGTAGAGCTAAGGAGGGCAGGATTGCAGCCGTGCCTCTTTCCCACCAGCGCCGGGCCACTTCTCGGTCAGGACACTGGGTTTGGACCAGAAAATAACTATAATGATGTAAGGAGCTTGTTTGTCACCAACAGGGTCACTTCGCTGGCCAGCAATCCGCAAGTTAGGGGTTTTCTAAATCTTTCATTGGCTTAAGTCCCAAAGCAAAAAGCAGCTCAACATGAGGTACTGTGCTAAGCGAATGCCCTTCCACGTCAACTCATCACTGCCATTACATATTCGAAATCTGATAGTGTCTAAGACTCCAGGCTACTAGGGCTGCTCAAACACAACAAAAGATACCTAAGCATAATTATTGCCATTTATCAAACATTCAGTTTTAATTCCCTAATAACGAACTACTCCCCCAGTAAGAACAAAAGTGAAAAGACTTCGGGTACCTCTTTGATGCCAAGAAAGTCTGTTCTTCAGAAAAATCTTCAAAAGCTCTAGCTTAAATGATGAGCCCAAATTTTGTCTTTAACATACATTTGTGAGGAAAAAAGAGATAACTACTGGCTTAATATTTAGACATTGTAAAAAATTAACTAAACCTTCCGTGAGGGACCACACCTTCATTCTCTTAATCTTTATGGAAGAAAATTCCCTTCAACAAGATTTTTGTCTCTGCTGAGACAATACAGATGGACAAAATAACTGACAGTGATAGTAAAAATGACAAGCATTACCTTCTGAACAAAGTGCAAAAGAAAAACCTCTTTTGATTACAGTTATATTAAATGTTATTTATAACAACAATAAACATGAAAAAGAAGATGAGTTTCTAGTACCAAGTGGTCAGCTTTAAGCAACTTCTTTGTCTATGTATCATCCCTGCCTCACCTATATGCTTTTTCCCCACAAAAGAAGATCTGGTATGTATGGCACCTACCTCATACCCTAACGTGCTGGTTTTGGCTGGGATAGAGTTAATTTTCTTCATAGTAGCTATGTTTTGGATTTGGGATGAAAATGGTGTTAATAATATAGAGATGGTTTTGTTATTGCTGAGCAGTGATTACACAGAGTCAAAGCCTTTGCTGCTTCTCACCCCACCCCACCAGCAAGGAGGCTGGGGGTGCACAAGAAGTTGGGAGGGGACACAGCCGGGACAGCTGACCCCAACTGGCCGAAGGGATATTCCATACCATATGATGTCGTGCTCAGCAATAAAAAGCTGGGGGAAGAAGAAGGAAGGGTGGGATGTTTGGAGTGATGGTGTTTGTCTTTCCAAGTAACCGTTACACCTGGGGAGCCCTGCTTTCCTGAGGATGACTGAACACCTGCCTGCCCATGGGAAGTGGTGAGTGAATTCCTTGTTTTGCTTCACTTGTGTGTGGCTTTTGCTTTACTTATTAAACTGGTTTTGTCTCAACCCGCAAGTCTTCTCACTTCTCCTCTTCTGATTCTCTCCCCCGTCCCACCGAGGTGCGGAGTGAGTGAGAGGCTTCTTGGGGCTTAGTTGCCAGCTGGGGTTAAACCATGACACCCAAGCACAGTATCTCACGAGAGCGCCGATTTCTGTGCAGCGGGCTATTCTTTCATTGAGCGTGAGCACTCTCAGCACTGCAGCACAAGCCTCAACTTTGCCCAGGCAAGACAAGAACGCTAGACAACAGTTACCTGTGTTGTAGACCATTTCATGATAATGGGGTGCACAATGCAGGGCATACATTTGTTTAAAAACTTCACCAGCTTGGATTCATTGCCACTAACAGCAGAGTTTTTATCTAAGCAGTAGGTCATAGTGTCGTGACTCCCTGTAGAATACAAAAATAAACGTACAGGAAACGTCATTTCTTAACTACTCAAGCACCACAATACACTGTTACATTGCGTGCACACACCTGACATGCCACCATTTCCAAATCACACACCTATATTGCCTGACAGCCTATGTAGTTATGGCAAAAAGGTGGACTCTTCTACAGAGGTTGCTCACCTGATATTAATAAGCTAAGTGTGAAATCCTCATGAAGGGAAGGCATCAAGGCTTTTTAGTAAAGCAGTCCCCATCTGAACTACACGTCGTTGTTTGCCTCAAACCACAATAAAAAGGCCTATTTCAACTAGCACCTTCCACTGAAATAATTATCTTGACGTGAAAACCCACTTTTTTCAGGGAATAAATAGCTGTAGGCTGAATTTATCTAGAACTTTTCCTGTTCTCAGAGTTGTCCAAATGAAAGATTTCCTACTCCAATCCCGTCTTCTCTGCACAGGAAAATATGACTGAAAGCAGAAATTCATCTTCTTACACCTTTGACTGGACCAGCTCCTAACTTGGCACTTTAACCATTTATATCTTAAATATTTGGTAAAAATGCCCTCCTGAACTAAACTCCCACATCCCCGACAAAAACAACATAAGAGGTAGGTGCTTGAAGGCTTCGGAGACAAAATCGAGTCTAAATTTACATGTGATAGATGGACAAGATCTGTCTTTTATGGAAAAACCCAAACCAAGCTCACTGCAGATGAAAGATTGATAATGAGGGCATGCAATCAAAGACGTTTGTCTTACAAGATGTAAGAGTCAACCCATTAAACACCCATGGACCAAATCCAAGTCTGAGAGAAGTGAACAGGATTCCATCACTGGGTGTTGCACCTATTGATGTCAATCAGCAAACAGATAGTAACTTTTCGTTTAGGAGTTGTCTTGTGATGTCAGTGAATTACAGTAATGAAAGGAAGATGGGTATATCCTTGACACAATGAATATGATGCAAAGATAGTGAGCTAGCACCAAACCAGGTAGCTTCAGAGCTTGAAGCAACATCTCCCCAGCAGCACTGTGCCGAACCTGGTGCAAACACAACACTAATTACTGAGACTCGCCTCTGTCTCCTCATCATGCTTTCAGAATGTGCTCTCTCATGTTTCTTGCGTGCCTTGTTGTCTTGTCTGAGATAAGCTTCCGTTTCCAAACCGGGCTTCCCCCAGTCATTGCTCCCTCTTGAAAACCTGCCAGAGCTGTCTTGACCTAGTTGGTATTGATCTGCTTTTGTTCTGACCTGGGCTAGACCAGTTCTGTAGGTCAGTTGGACAGCCACCAAAATCCTCCAAGCTGATAGCCTGCAATGCTCTGTAAAAGTCCTCCAATGTTTGCTGAAATGGGCTTGTCTTCAACTATTCTTTTCTTCATGCCTGTTCTCCATGCAGGCATACTCACAAAAATAACAAACATTCAAAAGAATAACAAGGTCACTGTAATGGGGAGTGAGGAAGTCAAAGGCACACATCAGCAGGTTCTCAGCTTTCTACAACATCCAAGAAACATCCCTGTGAAAGCTTTTTTAGAACACGACCTTCTTCTGTCATAAGATAGATACTTATTTTCTTCTCTCAACAGCTAAATAAGAAATCTAGATTTTCTTTTACAACATCTGTTCTGGGGTCCTCTTACATAGGCTTTATGCAAAACTGAGAGGTGCGCTTGTTTTGATGTTAACACAAATTTAAATTACCTATCCAAGAAGTCACCGTGAAATAAGTTCCTGGTTTTCAATTTTAATCAAAATTCCATACTCCATTAGTTCACAAATGCAGAAAAAAAAAAATCCACCATGGTTCTTGGACTCCACCCACTGAAGACAAGACTTGATTTTCCCACTATCTCTAAATGTATGCCTTTGCTAAAGTTAACCTAGGATCCTGTACCCTACATAAAACATTCATCTACGTGCTGTGCTGCTTTCCACCCAAACTACCTGCTGCATCTACAGGTGTGAGAGAAAGCATGCGCTAGACTTTTCCTTAGTATCATTTTCATTGTGGAGGCAAAGGAAACCACTCAAGAGCTGACAGTCCTCCAGTGCCTCCCCACGTGGCAGTGCAAACAGGCTCTCTTCTTTGGGCAGAATGAGAAAAAAAATTTAAAAAATTAAAAAAACATCTATTCAAGGCAGCAGAGAGAAGCAAAAATATGATGAAAGAAAGGCTAATGATACACAGGTCTGAATGTAGTACCAATGAGGACACCAGCTATAGCGCAGCTGTGTTTACCCATAATGGGATAAATCCAGTTTTTATAAGCAGGGTAATGCAGAAAAGTCACACTCTAAATTAATAAAAACATATGTTAATTGAAAGTCTCCATCCTCCTTTTTTCATACCTTCATGGCCTCTTTTAAACAGTACAAAGAAACAAATAATAAGATTAAATGTTATTTCTCTCCTTTTGGAGCCATCTTGTCATGTAGGAAGTGGCGAGAATGAAATAGGAAACTCTCACCATTGCCCAGATAAGCAAATGCTCAGGCTGTTAACACTGATCTGAGAAGATAATGCACACGGACTGCAAAAAAGTCCCTCTTTCTTTCCTTCCCTCAATAAAAAAACATGAAAAAAACCTTTTTCCCCTCCAAGAAAGCCCAAACATTGCAGACTAAAAAGTATTCACATGCATGCACATGTCACACGAACCCTCCCCCAAGCCCTGCTCCCACACGCTGACCCAAATAATAAACGTAGCCATCCTGAAGTGGGACAAACAGGATGTTCCAACGCTTAAATGACATGCTAACAAAAGACTGGAGAACAAAAGTTAATCTTTACCTGGAAGAGCTAAGTTATAGAGGGGAATATCCCAGAGCTTCTCTGGTAACCGGGACATCCATTGACCATTCTCATGGCACACGTGAACGGAGGTTTGCAAAGGGCCTTCCATTAGTGCCTGCTCTAGGACTTCATAGGGTGTTCTGGGAGGGAAAAAGAAAAGGAGTAAACCATTCCATATACTGTGGTTGAATTAATGCCATTGCACCTGTGCAGAATGGATTTATACATGCTATAAAATGTCAACCCTTCTCTCAAGTAGTTACAGCAAAATGTCAAGAACTTCTCGGCCACAACACACACTGCTTTTGATAACATTGTCTCCCAACACAATGTCAGGGGAGGGTTCCAGCTTTAGTCTTGTAAACTGACCAACTGAAGGAAAAAATAGAGCCAATACAAATATGTGCAGCTTCGTTGCTATGGAGAAATGACTGTCTACATTGGCTATTGCAACATCTTGAGGAGTAACCTACCTCCAGTGTGAAACAACGTCTGTTCCCTGACCCTTTGCAGCCCCGGGAGCATGGCAGTGGGACCGATGGCAAGGCCAGGACAGGCGACCCTCAGGTCCCTGGAGAACACTTGAAGCATGAGTTCAGCTGCCACATCAATACCTCTATGAAAAGCCTTGACAAAGATGTCAGGACATTGGATTTTCAGGTCATGCTGGCTTCTGGGGTCAGAGGAAAACTTCCATCTTCTTATTCCCTGTTTTGAGGAGATCTCTTGATGTCTTTTCTTATCATCCCTACTGAGCCCATGATCACAAGTACTTCAGTTTGGTCAGACTTTCCTGAAAACTACCCTGGAACTGTTCTTCTTGGATACAAGCATCTCTGGGATCATCTGCAAAATTTGCACTGGTCATACAGGAGTCCCAGGGGATGAAACCCAGCTGAGAAATCATGGTCATCACCAGGGCCTACTAGAGTTATTGTGTTCATTTTTCATTTTACGCTCTCATGGATAATGCAGAACATGAAGATGCGCTCTTCATGCCTTTTTTTTGTTAGGATGTTCCTAAAGTTCAGGTGGTAGTTTTTGGGATGAGAGCCTTCCTTCTTCTCACTGTTTTCAAGGCTTTAGCTATTTTTTCACAGCTATGTAGTGGGACAATTTCTGTTAGATCATGGCACAGTTATTTCCTATATTAATATCACAACTTCTTTTTTAATCCTTTTTAAAAAAGCTGTTACTGTGAATCATTCCTTTTTGTCTGCTACAGCAATGGCAGTCAGATATGTATTTGTGCAGGTTTCGTACTCTGCCAAACATCCTCACTGGTCACTGGTCCCTGGTCCCTTTTGCTGCATCTTGGCACATTAATTCCTGAGAGTGTTTCTCCCCAAAATATTTGTCGTGTTGCTTTTGGGAGGTGGTCAGTTTTTCTGGATTTACAAGTGAGCCATACTGTTTATATGAAGAACATTTCCTTAAACATGGTGCAATAGATTGGGGGTTTTTGGCAGTCACATCGGGTCATCTGAAAGGCAACTTTAGGAATTGCATTCCTAAGTTTTATGTCTGTACCACACATAACAGATACAACCGCTTTCGTATTTGCCAATTCACATAGCATCACTTGTCCAGCCTGCCTCGCTCTGCCTTCGGTGTGGCTCTGAACTGGTCTCTCTGAGTACGGCCACCCCAGAGTGGGACCACGCCGGCTGAGGGAAATGCCCAGCACCACCGGTGCACGTGTCTGGTGTCTAACCTGGGGCTTTCCTCCTGGTGAAGAACAGCCGAGGTTATCCACACACACAAGGCCACTGCACAAGCAGGAGAGAAGTGGTTTAAACCCCCCCTCGCTCCCTTTGTCTCTGTATTTTAAAAAACAGATATTTGATGGGCTTAGTGCAAAGTCAAATGGAAAAAATCCCAGGGATTTATTCAGAAAAAGAAGGTGCAGGTCTTTTTGTCCTGCATAAGCAAATGGTTTCTATATGCCACAGACGGTATTCTTATTCTTGGAAAGAAGTTCAGATCTCGGGCAGCCCACCTCATCCATCCTCTGGCTCGGTGTTTTAACATGCCGAGCTTTTGCCTCCTGCACACCCCTTGCTCTGGCAACGGTGGCCTGCAGCTAACCTTGTCCCATTTTGCTGTGGTTCTTGCTCCCTCAGACTGCACACCACCGCTCACCCAGGGCTGCTCCGCTCTAGCCTATGTGCCACATCGCGTCAGCGGGGACGGGGGCTGCAGGTGCTTAAAGCAGCGTTGCTGTTTAGTCGTTGCAAAAGACAGGGTGGTCTTCCTCCTTCCCCAGCTCCGACGCTGACGGGAGCTCTGCGGATGCAACGCTCCAGCACATGGCAGCACTTACACGCATCCTGTAGAGAGACTAGAAACCTAACTATAAGCATTGCTTTTCCTCTTTTTTGGGATCCGCAGCTCCCTTTTCCAGAGCCTTTGGGGCTGCCTAATTCCTCTGTTCCCCAAAGCCACCCACGCCCCCCGCCCC